TGTGAATTGATCAGGGGTAGAGCCCTCCTGTCCTGATTTGAAGCAGTGGAAGGTGTGCACCTGCAGTAAGCTCGATTGGTGGCCACAGCAGAGATGCTCCCTGAGAGAAAGGAGTGGGTGAAATCTCCAGGGAGTGTGTGAGCCCACCTGGCTGACCCTCTGGGACCTTAACATGGCTTTGGTATTCAATGTTTCATTGCATAGGTAGCAATATTTTACCACATTTTATGGGAGAACTATGGTTTTAAAAGATTCTGAGACTAGATCCAGTAATTCCATTTCTGAGAGTTTGTGTGTGTGTGTGTATCTTATGGATATGTACACACACACACACACACACACACACACACACACACACTCCTCCAAAAGAATTGGAAACAAGTTTACAAAGAGATTACTCATGTTCATAGCAACACTGTTCATAATAGTCCATAGTAGAAATAACTCATGTCCATCAATGGATGAATAGATAAACAAAATATTATACACACACCTGGAATATTATTCAGCCTTTAAAAGGAATTTCTGACACATCAAACATGGATGGAACTTGAGGACTTTTTGCTAAGTGAAATGAGCCACTGTAAAAGACTAATACGGTATTGTCCCACATATATGTGGTACAGAGTAGTCAGGTTCAGAAAAACAGAAAGTAGAATAGTGGTTGCCAGGGGCTAATAGAGACAAAAATGGAAAAAATCATGGTCTAATGGACATAAGAATTTCAGTTTTGCAAAATGAAAAAGTTCTGGAAATTGGTTGCACAACAATGTGAATACACTTAATGCTAAACATGAATTTAAAATAGTCCAAGATGGTAAATCATGTGTCATGTATATTTTACCACAATTACAAATATATGTATTGGTAATAAGAGGGGAAGTAAAGATCCTGGGACTGGCCCTCACTGCTATCTGTGGCTCTCTGTTTTCTTTATGACTTCACCACCATCATCTGTGTGTAGGCTCAGGTGACCTCTGTTTCTACAATCATGGCCTCTTCCTTAATTCAATACATTGTTATCAGTTTAGTATGAAAACCACCTTTTATATATTTTAGGCTGTAGGCTCCTCTACACCCCTCTTAGGAAACAAACAAAACACTATGAAATTATTTCTGTGAAAACTTCAATAGCAAATTTGAAAAAACTGTGGTTTACAGATCATAAGGAGACAAAAAATAATGTTTATCCTTGTCTATAAGCTATGCATGTCTTATTTTTAATTTTTTAATAGAGAAGTTATGGTACATTTTTTGGAACTAAAACTTTGACGATCTGAATGTGTTACTCAGATTAACTAGATATGTTCAAAATATCCAGAATTGTCCACCTTAAAGCTAACAGTTCTGTAATTTACTACATGGTATAAGTTGGGTGTTCTTAGCATCTTCAGGAACTAATCTTTGTCATGTGTTGGAAAATAGACTCTCATGATGAATCTTTTTCCCATAGAAGAGCTCAAGGTCAGTTTTCAGTTTGCTTGTTTGTTTTGGTTTTAGAGGAGTAAGAGGATAAGCGCTCCAGAACACCTAAAAGAAACAGTTAAAGGACATTAAAGGTTTCCAGTACTCAGACTGAGATCCAGGGCTTCGGGGGAGAGTTGCCAAGGTCCAAGCCCCACCTAGAAAGTTACTCAGAGTGAGACTTCACAATGGTGTCCTGTTGAAACATGCCTCCGAGTCACCTGTTTTAGAAAGATAGGCCCCGGGTGACGACTTATCATAGGTATGACTAGATGTTCAAACCTTTTGTACCAGAACTGTGCTAGGTAACATAATAAGGAAAAGTTCTCAAACTGGATTTAAATAAAAGAGCTTTAATTGGCATCATGTCTAGTTTCGTTGCATTACATCACTTGGATTACTGTGAAGTATTTTGAGTCTTCTATAGGACAGATTAATTTAGATTAAAATCTCAAAGAGCTAATTTAAAGTATGTCTCTTGATATCATAAACTGAGAGGTTAGAACAGATAACAAGTTTAAGGAGAGAATCCTTTGAGTTGTGTTTGATCAAAACGCTTCTTGTGATTTGAAGCAAAGGTGTTTTTTCTTACTTGTTTAATGTAGTTTATTCATTTATATCATTCTCTGGAATTGGGACCTATATCCTTGCTTGGGACCAGAGTTCATAATGGTAATTCTTATATATAAAAACAGTTTATATCTCTAGGTATTGTTAACGTGGAATCAATGTTAGTGCAGTCATGTGGACTCATACTGCTTAACCCATATTTGTTATTTTAATCTACTCCAGCCTTTAAACAAAAGATAACTAAACCCATAGTGTAAATGCCACAGTAACACAACTAAAACCAAATAATAATGATTTTGGCATATCCCAAGCAGGAAAACTCTGTGGCCATTAAAAATCACATTGTATGAACAAGTTCTACATTGAAGAATTTTATTGAAATAGGAAAATGTTCACAATAAATTGTTATTTCTAAAAGGCTACAAAATAAAGGGTATAGAATAACCATTTTTATTTAAATATATATTTAATTTAGTCATACAAATATGACAACATATGTAATTTTTAAAACGCAGAATAAAAAAAGCCTCAGAAATTGTTATTTAACAGTGAAGTTTTTTCTGTTTCTGAGTACTATGGAATTTTGAGTGACTTTTCTTCTTCCTCTTGATGTATAGGTTTCTGCTTTAAGCAAGTGTATGTTCAATTTATGAATTTTATTATTAAGAAAGTATAATACGTGCTATGTTAATAAATACACAAAAACAATAGATACCTTTTATATTTTCTGTAATTCAGGCTTTTGTAAATTTAGATGGATCTTTTAATAAATTAGTTCCAAGTTTTTTAACTTTCACACTGCTAATTGGATGCTTAAATTGTTTGAAAACTGCATCATGTGCCAAGCAGATTTGTTCGCTGTGCTTTTTTAAATGGGTGATTCTTAGCATATAGGAAGCTAAAGATGATGAGCCAGCATGACATTACTTTAGGTTAGTCATGCTTTCTAAAGTCCAGTGCTTACAAGTTGTGTGCATGTGTTTCCAATAAAGACTTATTTACCACAGCAGATGACTTTCTTTAACATTCTGTGCTTCATTTTCACACTCCTGTTTACTCATTGCAAGTTGTTTGACCGTACGTGGTTCTCAAGTCTTGAAAGACCCTCTTTGCCATTGCAGCCTTCTCCAGAGTCTTCACCTTTTGAAGCTTAGAAGGCATCCCCTGCAAACTCACAGGATTCATTCGGGGGGGGGGGATCACAAATGTGATTCCCACACACCTGTATCATTGCATGCTTGGCTCATACTGACTTTGTAGCACTGTGTTTGTGTGTCTCCCCGAGGAAACAGGATGCTTACCATGGTAGTGATCATCCTAATAATTACCATCTGTTGAACACATACCGTGTGCCAGAAGCAGCACTCCCGCTTTGCATATGTTACTTCATTTAAACCTCCTACTATTACAAAAAGTAAATGCCATTTTCTCCATTTGATAGATGGGAAAACAAAGGCTTTGGTTTAAACAAGATATGATAAAAAGACAGAACTTTGAATTCTAGAGGAAGAACCAGAAGTGGAATCCCATAACCCCTTTTTGATGCAAGGATTTAGTGACCCAACTGATGAACAGGGCAACCTCATAGTCCTGGACTCCTCTGAAGTCCAGGATGCTGTTTACTCATTTTTCTACTCTTTGTATTAACAAAATAGCTTTATCTTCCCTTTGTGCACTATTCTCACAGTGTTTGGCAGGTGGAGGAGGCATTATCATAACCCTCCAGATTTCAGAGGGTTATGATAATCTGGTCAATGTCTTAAGTTCCTACTTTAAGACACTGTTTCTGAGTTTTACATCTTATATCTTATTTTTTGGACCTAAAATTTAAAAAAAAAAAAAATTGCGGTGGCAGAATACCAGTGATTGAACTCAGGGGCACTCCAGCACTGAACCACATCCTCAACCCTATTTTGTATTTTATTTAAAGACAGGGTCTCACTGAGTTGCTTAGCGCTTCACTTTTGCTGACACTGGGCTTTGAACTTGCGATCCTCCTGTCTCAGCCTCCGAAGCCACTGGGATTACAGGCATGTGCCACTGCACCTGGCAAAATTTTGATTTTGGTTGATTTTTCCGAATGCTCCTCTGCTCCATGCTGGTTAATAATGCCAGCAATAATAACAGATAATAACAGTCGTTTATTGAATGTTTACTGTTGTGCTAAGTGCTTTAAAAACATTGACCCTATGAAGTAGGTTTTGTTACTTTTCCATTTTATAGATGGAAACACTGAGACTCAGAGAGGTTAAATGGCTTGTTTCACTTTACATTCTTATTCATTCATCAGTCTGATAAAGGAGTGCAGTGAAGATTTGTATCCAGTTTTTCTGGACTCTGGTTTGAATGAAGACTCTGTCTCTTGCTAGTATTTTGACTTTGGGCTAGTTACTCAGCCTACTTCTGTGTATAGTTTCTTGACTTGTAAAATGGGTGATAAGATATGTACCTCAACATTGTGATGGGGATTAAATGGATTACTGAATGGAAGGTGCTTAGAATAGTGCTTGACCCATAGTGACTGCTTAGTATTAGGAATTTAAAATTATAATCACCCTTAACAATATTATTAATATTAACCAGATTTTAAATGTTGAAATAACTTGTTAAACGATATAAAAGTGTGTGAAGGGAATTACATCCTCCTCTTGCCACCTCTGACTTGCCCTCCCCAGAATTAACCAGTTTGGTATATACCTTTCCAAAATATTTCCTRTGCCATTGAAAGCTATTTTAAATTGTCCTTTCATTAATGAAGTACAGGTTGATAGAAAAATTTTATGGTGTTCTCGAGAATGGGAAAATGGAGAGACAGGGAGATAAATTCATTCATTCAATTAATATTTATCAAACATCTGCTTTGTGCCATAGGGCTTAACAGAATGCTGAGGATTTAGTGTCAAATGTGGTATGTGTTGAATTTCTGTTTTGAGCATTTATTGATGTCATGTTTTGGTTTTATTCAGGATATGATGTTTCAGCTTCTCCGAGGTCTGGACTTTCTTCACTCTCACCGAGTAGTGCACCGTGATCTAAAACCACAGAATATTCTGGTGACCAGCAGTGGACAAATAAAACTGGCTGACTTTGGCCTTGCCCGCATTTATAGTTTTCAGATGGCCCTTACCTCAGTGGTGAGTAAGAGCAATACTGTCTTTTCGTTGAATTATCTTTCCTGCTTCAAATAACAAAGTGCCCCTCTTCCATGCTCCTAATGTTACTGCTTCCTGTGGTCTTTACTACTTCCCAAAATGTCTTTGCAATCTTCTGGATAGCAGTGGATAAGAGGAGAGCATTCTGTTTACAGCCACAGAGACATCTGGGCTGGGTGCATTGTGGCAGGACCCATTGCAGAAATAGCCTGTTGCATCTTAACCATAGAAAGGAATCAGTTACAAGTTTCCAAACACTTTTTGCCATAACCACTGTTTTCAGAGCTACGTCATGATGAGCTCAGGGTCAGGAAAAAGAGAGTGGGAGGAATGTTGACCTATCTACAGCGTCCTGTCCTGAGAAGCAGCAGGAGTACCAACCCAGGTATGTTAAAACACTTCGGAAGCTGAGGATACTGACTGTGAAGAAGAAAGAAATTGACAGTGAAAATGGATGATCCTTGAACAAGTAGCCCCACCCTGCCAGCTCTAAGCCAGAATAGAAAGGGTGAACCAAGGGTCTGTTTTGGCAAAAAAAAAAAAAAAAAAAATGACAATTATAATATCCTGTTCTTTGTCTCACTCACCGAGGTGCAAAAGCATAGTAGTGACTTTGGTTAGTTTCTATTCCTCCTTGCAGTTCATTGTTTCTGAGATGAATTTTTTGAAATTCTGTACCCAAACTACAAAAAGAACAGCCTGGAAGCGAGTATTAATAACCCTTTTCTTTGAAAGATTTGTTTTATATATAGTGAATTCATACATAGATAGAAAAGCCAGGGAATGTCCCCTTGCCTTGCAATTTATTTTGGAGTTGTGTGCAAAAAGCTTCTCAAATCAGGGGCAGCACTGCCCTGGGTGGGGGGCACTGTTGAGAAATATATGGTGGCATCTTTGGTCATCACAGTGACCTGGCGGGGGGGATGGCTGCTTCTGGCATTTAGTTTATATGCTTCATGGAAGCTAGCATTCTCCACAACAACAACAACAACAAAAATGTTCCCTCAAATCCCAGTAATTCTTCAGCTGAGAAGTAGAAATATGGGAGAGAAGTTGGAAATTCCTCTGAGACAGGTAACTTGCCTTAGGAAAAAAGTCCAACTTGCAAGAATATTCTCCATCTACCCTTTCCCCCCACTGTAGGTATGAATACTACAACCTTCCGTGTAGAACTCCTTACATTCCCAGCATTAAGTACTTTGACAGGGCATCAGGATTTCTCCAGAGGATTCCTTGAAGTATGTTGCAGTTGTTAAAAGATAAATCCTGCTTCTTTCCTCTTTGCCCAGCATACACCAGTACTTTTGAGAAGATAAAACAACAGCTGTTGTTAAAAGGCTTGGTCTCCGCTTTGGGCAGGGCCAAGTAAGCTCTTCTGTTCTTACAAAATCGGACCAGAAAGGGCGGAGTCTGTGTGTTTCCCCAGTGGGAAGGGTGAGGTAGGCTTTGGGCTTCCCTAGGAAATTATTGCACATGTTGTTTTGGGGCCCTGGGGAGAAACTTGAATAGACTTTGTGATCAGGGCAGTAATAGGGGAGCAGATGAAGGAACTGGTCTCCTTGGGTACATTAATTGAGGGAAGGATGAGCTGTAACTAAGCCGGACACGATTTTAATCCCCCCAAGTGGGCACTGATAACCATAAGTAAAAGCAGGAAACCCAGTTGGTTTTATTTTGATTTTTTTTCTTTTTTCTTTTTTGCTTGTTAAATTTGAGGAATGATGGCCTAACTCATGTGTAACATCAATTAACATTCCATTCATGCTGGAAGTTGGTATGTTTAAACAGGAAAATGCAGACAAAATGTTTTATATTCAGAGAAAACAGGAAAGGCAAGCATAAAACATGTTTTTTTCTGTATCTAGTCTGTATGGTGTACTATATATTCCTGTGGTGGCATTAGTCAAAGATGTTAGCAGCTGGGAGAGACTTGATTTGAAAGAGTGATAGACGGAATTTAATGGCAGTAATAAAAGGTACATTTCTGTAAGCTGCTGCATTTAAAATTTTCCTGTTTAATATTTTTTGTATGAAAAGGAAAAATCCATTTAATATAGTGGTGCTTTGATTTGCCTACACTTAGTAACATATAAAAACTTAGAATCACAGTTTTTCGAACTGAGCTGGTGTGTATTTTTAGTATCTCTGGAAGAGACTACACTCCACTTCCTGGAAATGCACATTTTTAGTAGATTATGTCATATAGAACCTGGGAATCAACTTAATTTGTGGAATGTTAAAGGGATTAAAAGTTAACTGATTTGAAACTGACTTTTTACAGCCGTGGGAAATGCTAATATATTACTTATCTTTCAAAGAYTGATCACATGCCCTTTTCTGGTATCCCTCCAAAAATAGAGCCCTATCACTAGAGTAACATCTTATTAATGTCTTTCATGATACCACTTTCTAACTTGTTTGTAGTTATTTCAGGATTTTATTTATCAGGCTGCAAGTTCCTTGAAAGTAAATGCTGTGTCTTATTCAGCCTTGTTTATTTTGATAGGTTTTCAGGAAATATTTTTAATGAATAAACTGACAAATGCCAACATATAATATAAGTAGCTAAGTTGTAATAAAAATAGGGAAGAAATTACCTATACATTTAATGTCTCAATATTCCTAAATAGCTACCCAGTGATACTAAGCCAAAGGATTTGCTAGAGCAAATACCTTAAAAATGTCTTGAGTACATCTGTACCTTAGTCCTGATTAATTCATTGACAAGTATCTGTTCAAAGTCAGGAAAGCTGTATGCTGTAGCTCAGTTTCATGTTAGGAGTGTAGGAATGATTTGAACCCAAGTTCATAGTTTGTGCCTTATGATTATGATAATCCTCTCTGCTGGCTCATTAAAGAATTTCCTGTATGAATTTACCTTCAATCCTGAACAGAAAGCTATAGAGATTCAGAAATATGGCATTGCTATAATTCCACTAGAATTGACAATGTAACTCACTGAATTTTGGTGTTAACTTTAGAAGAGGTTTCATATTCTTCACAGATAATTAGAATTCTCCAAATGAAAGAATGAGTGCATTATTAGACAAATTTTTTTTCTATTTAGTTATTAAGCTAACTAACTTCGTTAATATATGTATATTTATACAATACATGGAATTTCTATGTGGATCATTGACAATAGCTTGCATTCCTACAGTCTTTCTAAAAGTTTCAGAATGTTCTCACATATATCCTAGATCTTTACAGGGGCAGCTAGCAGTATTTATTTCATTTTAAAGTCTCACATGGTAGAACTGGAACTGCTGCTTTATAATATCTGAACTATGCTTTCTGCCAGCATTCAAGAAGAAACATCTTTTCTGAATTAATTGAGAAATTAGCTGTTCTAGACAGGTGAGTTTTTCAGCTGTCTTGGGGTGTAACACTATATATACTCTGATCTTTAATATTTAATATTTTAATGAAATGTTTCTGTTGTTCATACTCAGTACATAGGCCTTTTGGGTAGAAATTAACTTAGGACAAGCATTATGAGTCTGGACTATAGTTTTAGCTGTCGTTGGTATGTAACATAGGCCAAATGACTTTGCTTGTAACCACCTAACAAGTTGAGGGCTAATCTCTAGGGTTCCGTGCCCTTTAGATCCTAACTGTATTGGGCTGTCTCTAGTAAGACACTCGGGTGTCTTTAGGGGATATTAGATTCTTGCTGCTGAGTATATAGTAATACATGTGCTTGTATCTATATAGAATAAAGATTTATACTATTTTTAAAAGGCTGAAGGATTAAAATTTGGGTGGCTGCAGTGTATGCCTTGGACCTAGGCAGGAGGGACCCCTGGCTTGAGTCTCATGCTGTAGAGGAGCCTTGCCAACCTGCTCCAGCCATGTCTCCCCTCATGGGGCACAGAACCTAGTGTGCAAGGAGAAATGGACAAGACCTCCATCCTACCCCCAGGACATTGAAAATCCCTGACAACATGGGACTTCATGGGCTCATCCTTCCCCCTAATAGCAGATTTTGCCACTTGTATGTTTGCACTAAGCCTAGGGACAGGTGTTTGCATGCATATGGGCATAGCCTGGACAGGTGGACTGGAGTGTCTGATGCACAGCTTGAGGTCCCTTGTGGTTCAAGAGAAAGCCAAAAGTGTGAGGAGAAGTGGAGCCCATTATATCTGCACCCAATGTACATTATTTTTGTCAAAAAAGTTTCCCTGAATCCCTGAAAAATGAACTTCTGTGACTTATATTGAACCAATAGATTTGCAGAAAACCAAAAAGAACTGGTTTCAGGGAGGTTATTCCAGTTGCACTGAGGTGATATGCAAGAAACGTGACTCATATGCTTATATAATATCTGTAGCAAACGTGTTTGGAGAATATACACATATTCAATAGAATGACTATTAAGACTTGCTAAAATTATGTTTAAAGTCTTTCTAAAGTCAACATTTCCAAGTACTTCCCATGGTAGTATATGGTGCCAGCACATTTTTTGTCTTTCAGTATTTATCAAGACCAGTGACTCAGCCAGCAGTTTTAGTCCTACAGGAGAGTAAGTCCTGGTCTGTCAGAAAATGTCTCAGAGCAGAGCCAGGGATATCACCAGCAGCTCCACTGAAGTCCCTGATCATCATGAAGCCTGTGATCAGTAGCTCAGGGAGGGGACAATCTCTGATTATGATGCAAAAATCTTCATGGTTTTTTTTTCCCCTAAACCTAACTATACAGCATTCAAGGTGATCCTGTTGCCATTGGATTGGTGTTTTAGGAACTCTTTACCATTTCTTTTTGGAAGTAGGAATTGGAGACTCAAACCAGATTTAATCTGGATTTGTCAGATAATTATAAAGAGATGAGAAAACTCTTATTATTTATATTCCAACTCTCACCCATGATCCCCACTTCCCTTTTCTTCCTACCAAAGGCTGTAGTACCTCAAAGAATTTCAAAGTGGTCTGTGGAATCCTCAGGTTCTATAAAGGTATCTAGAGGTTCCAAGAATGTTCAAGAGT